ACAAATCGCAAATCGCACTGGTTGTTAAAGGGAATGAGCACTAGTACGTTTGTCTAAAACTGATGCACAAAGCTCTAATACTATTTCAGATGTATTCCTTATAGTTACCATTCCTTGCCAGAATACGACACTTAACCTTTACCTGGCGAAGTTAAACTATAAGGTCCAAAGGGTGCGAACGCCCCAGTAACCTTGAACGCATGCAAGTCGTTGGCTAACGACACTTGTCCTCATTATAGTGCAAATAACAACGCTATTTACCAACTAAGGAGCGAATTCCATCCAGATTACATTTTTAAGTACTGTTTGTGTTAATAACTCGTTAGGATTAGGCTTAAGGTAGGTATTAGGGTTAGGGTTAGGATAAGGGTTACTATTAGGGATAGGTTTGGAGTTAGTATAATTTAATTTTCCTTGTTAGTAGTCGACGATCCTCTTACTGGAAACCATAGTAATTCAATCGAGGGCTTGTGGGTAAGACTGCAAAACAGGATAACAGCGATAGACGGGTCACAATAAGAGCTAACCTTAAGTCACCTGGGTGAATACGTGTGCAGAAACTGGTCCTACTTAAAAACTGAAACTCCTCATTGTAACTGGGATGTATTTTTAAGTCATGTCAGAGAAAAATACCCTGTTTAATGTGTTTCCATGCATTTCCTTGTAAATAAACGTCATTCTTTTGTGGAAAAATCACTTATTTTTTTGTTCGGTGGGCTTCAGGTCACCCGTGCGTTCGCATTCCTTGCAATCCTATGGTTCAACTTTGCCCTTTACCGTTCTTACCAAATATTAACTCATCCATACTGCCAGAGACTACGGGGATTTCTTCTATCAATCACTCTCATGCGCACTGTTTGATGAAGTACATACTATAATAATTTCTCGACATACGTATGTGTGTGTGGTTTCTCATATTTGCAAAATATTTTGGTTGATTGTGCAAGACATATTGCCAGACTATTCAAACAAATTATACTCAATGTTTTCGAACTCCAGTTTACTCATAATCCTTTATTGGAATGGTTTAGCAAGATATCCTGTGCCATCAACCAGTCTTCATATTTTGTCAAGTGCGTTTGCGTAGATAGTTCAGCAACAGTTTCGTTCAACTATCTATATAATGTTCATCTTGAATAAATTTTTCTGTGATATTTCTCATCCCTTTAAGTATCGCAGCTGAATAAGAATAATGTACTCTGAACGGTTTCACCTTCATATTCAAGAGATAGAAAAAGATATTTTATTCCCGAGTATCTGTCCTTATTTATAGTTATTTTCAACTGTTGATTAGACTGAGAAAAATTTGGACATTGGGTATATGATATTCAGTATAATAAAGATTTTTGTATTTCCCCCAGTGAATGAAAAACAAAACGATATTGTTTTTACTGACGTTTCGCTATTTAATGCTAATAGCTTTATCAGAGTATTTATTATATTGATTATTGATTAGACCGTTTAAAATAGTCTTCATTTGGCTAAGTAATTTTAAAGTAAAAGGATGACGATTGAGGATGAAAAGAAAAGAATAGGTTAGCGTAGTAATTTTTTTCTGAGAAAAGTTGCTACTACTGGTTTTTTTTTACAGCACTGAATATTTGTAGCTCAGGTGACTGATCATTGTACTTTTCTGAGTTCTCTGAGTTCAATCTCGTCGTTCTATCTTGCGTTTTTATCTATTCTCTTTGTTGTATTTTTCTTTAAAGTCATATGATGTATGAAGATATTTAAATCTGTCATTAGTTTTTACGTTTCAAAAGCCTCTTTTTTAAGTCATACATTCATGATATATTTCTTCATCGAACCTTGCATGCGTTTTCGTGCTTTTTTGCTCAATACCGATATGCTCAACGATATGATTCAGTGGTTTTTGTATATATATATATATATATATATATATATTAAGCCAGTGGTATATTTCTTTATTTTATGAATCTGGCTCAATCCTTTTTCAAAACGGTGTAACCTAATTAATCGTCTTGTATCGGTAGATTAAGTTTCTGAACAGAATCGTTTCTGTGCATCATAATCATCCACTGAGAAAGTGATTCCATCGAATATTTTGTGCAACAATAACTTAATGCTTGTGGAAGTGTCATATTTCAATATGGTAGAAGTTTAAACCAACACAATACCGATATCAACAATTCTTGACTGTTATTTAACTCAACCTTCAAACTATATGTGTTAGCTGAAACGGAGAAGCACAATAGTCATTCTGACTATAGTAACTACATAAGGCAATTGTAAAATTTTCTGTGTTAGTTTTGATAATAGCTACTGATTACATCAGTTGATGTTGACGTAGTTCAGCAAATGTCTAATTAGCGGTGAAAATAAACTGTGATACTAATAAATGAGGTTTGACTTTTCTGAAGCATACGTACGTTCTCAAAAATATGTAAATTATTATTATTATATTATTATTGTATCTTTTAATTCCTAGAGGAACATAGGGCTTCAGCCGTGCGTCTCCATTGCGTTCGGTTCTCTGCTAGAGTCTTCACCTGGCTCCAAGTCTGTCCACACGTTTTCATCTCCTCTTCACATGACCTCCTCCAAGTCACCCACGCACTGACGACCAACTCGCCGCTTCCCTTTCGGGTTCCACTCGAGCAATGGCTTGTCTAGTGATGTCACTTGATGGTTTCCTCAGAGTATGGCCAATCCATCTCCATTTCTTCCTGCCTATTTGTTGCACAATCGGTTCCTGGTTGGTTCGCTCATTGCCAGAGATCCCTGTTGCTGATCTTTTCTGGCCATCTGATCTTGAGTATTGAGCGAAGACAACTGTTAATGAAGGTCTGTAGTTTGTTTGAGATGCTCTTTATGACGCGCAGTGCAAGTCTCTGATCCATATAGTAGCACTGACTGACTTCACATTGGAGTTGAAAATCCGGATCTTATCTTCGTTTTGATGCTGAGTGCTGTTGACCTCCACACAGACTTGAGAGTAGTGAAAGCTTGTCTTGCTTTTCCGATCCTTGCTTTGATATCCTCGTCAGTTCCGTCTGCCTGTAGTTGAAACGATGCTTCCCAGGTAGGTAAAAGAGGTTGTTTCTTTCAGGTTCCTCCCATTTATGCTGATTGTTGTCTGTTGTTGTTGTTGATGTTGGTGGTGTTGCCCAGGAATCTTCATCACCTCTGTTTTCTCTATGTTCACCTGAAGTAATTCCTGTCTTTGATGCTTCTTCTGCCAACTTGTTGCTTTTCGCTTGCATATCTTCCAGTTTATGGGAAATCAGACATATATCATCGGTGAAGTCCAGATCCTCCAAGTTTTTTGTGTGAGTCCATTTTATGCCTGTTTCCTCATTGCCCGCTGTTTGTCGCATTATCCAGTCTACTGCAATCAAGAAAATCATTGGCGATAGTAGGCAGCCAGCTTGTCTTACTCTTGTCCTCACTTCGAAGGATTCCGTAAGTTTCTCGTTGTGGATTACTTGGCATGCAGCATTGTCGTACAGCTGTTGGATGAGATGTATAATTGTCGGAGGCACCCCGTAGTAGCGAAGTAGTTTCCAAATCACCTCTCGATCGACGCTGTCGAAGGCCTTTCCAAAGTCGATGAATTTGAGAGAGAGAGAGGTGACTGCCATTCCAGGCTTTGTTCAATGATGATCCGTAATGTGGCGATCTGATCAATGCATGACTTGTTTCTCCTGAATCCAGGCTGTTCTGGTCGAAATTTTTCATCCAGGGCATGTTTGGTTCTCTCCAGGATGATGCGGCTTAGTATTTTGCTTGGGATGGACAGGAGCATAATTCCGCGCCAGTTCTTGCATTGACTTAAGTCTCCTTTCTTTGGCAGCTTGAATAAGTATCCTTTCTTCCAATCCTCAGGTACCTTGCCCTCTTTCCACACCTTCTCCAGTATTGGCGTCATCATGCCTGCTGTTGTCTCTGGGTCCGGCATGATATTTTGTGAGTTTGTTTGAGTCATAGTATTGGATTGGGTAGCTGCTTTTTGTCTAACCGCTATCCAAACAACTTTTCCGGCGTGGTAGGACCTACAGGAACATAAGTTCCAGCCAGTGTAGATCGTTGGGTCATTGCGATATGCAAGCCCGACCACCACGTCTAGGTAGCAGCTATCGGTCGGGAAAATATGTAAATAATAGAGACTAATAACCGGTGCTGTTAAGAGGATGATTAATAAACTCATCAATTCTTTTGTACTTCTTTTCCACCTCTAATTGGACTGATTAGCCTTAATTTAACGTTACTGAAGTAAATATACTACTACCAAGTATAAGAAATGTCACAGAATATTTTTTCTCACTTTTTACTTTCGCTTCCTTCTTATCTCCCCAGTCTCTTTTCTACTTTTGACATAACCTTTTTTATATTTTTATTTCTCCTCTCTTGTCCGGTTGATTTTTTCGATGAACCGATTTGTAGAGTATTACCATTGATGAAGTCTAATTCTATGTGTGTATTCACTCTAATCTGACATTTCAGGTCTGATAGAACTTACTGTAGACTAACTCCTGCTAACATTTAAGGCTTTTGAAGTTTAAAAGACATGTACTTATGTCATGTCCTTCGTGTTTTTGTGTATCTGTTTACTGATGATGAGGTGCTTAGTAGGGGTTTTTTGCATAGGTATTAAAGTCTTCAGTAACTATAGTAAGATTTACACACAACAATTATATCTTCAGGAAATTTGTCATTCTGCAAATAAACAACATGCTTAACTCATTTCTCTTGGCTTCTTTGGTTCTCTTCATGTAATGCTTTTTTGTCTTAAATCAAGCAAACTGCGTATTAGTAGTATAAGTGCTCTAGAAGGTCAGCAGTCTATTTCAGTTTAGTGTATTAATTGTTGTTTATTTTTTAAAATTACAGTCCTTCTTTCTTCTTGTCTCTGCACAGCTACTATTCAAAGTTTGTCTGTATAGTAAGTGTCAACTTCTGTTTACCGGTTATTTGTGGCATTTCATTAAACAGATAGTTTAAGAAACTATTAAATAATTGGTATTCTGTTTTATTTTCAGACGTTCGGGCCAGTTGGTTCTGGGCCTAATGCGGTATTTAACAATCCCCGAGCTCAAACTAATTCCGGTTCTAGAATCGTTCATGCACCGGTTACCGATGGCGCGAACCTGGTGAGCAAAGAACAGCCTCAAAATATGACGAGTTTGCCGCCTGGTATAGTGTCAACAAACCTAGCTGGACGACAGTGTGTTGCTAAGTTCGATTTTAATGCTGAGTTTCGGGAAGAAATGTCATTCCGTCGAGGTGATTGTCTACTCATACATGGTGAAGAAGATGAAAACTGGTGGTTCGCTGAGATAATCAGTCCTTCTAGTGGTCAACCATCTCGAGGCTTGATTCCCGCTAATTATGTCGAACTCCTATCGACTAATACATCTAGCTCCGCAGTTTCTAATATGCGTAATAATCCATCAAAAGTTTCACAGCCTTCTGCTCAAGTTGCCCGGGCCAACTGATTTACGTGAATTAACTTCAATATTATTATAATTTATATGGATCCACGCACTATTCCAGTACTCGCTAAATCAATCTAATAGTTAAATTCCTACAGTTCCTGTCTTATTGCTAATTTATTTTTGTGCCTATCACTTCTTTCATGAGTCGCAATGTGATAGTGTGTAAGAGAAAAAATGAATTTGCAGAAATTCAAAGTCCTCGTAATTTTCACTTTGTTTTTATTTTAGCTTGAAGAGAACATAGTCAAATTAACTTCTGTTTAGCGAATTTCAAGTACTCCGCACTTTTAACGCATCTGAACATTAAAAAAAGTAATATGTAGTAAGCTTGTTATTGTGCTGTTGGAAAACATCACCTTGGACACTAGTAAATAGTTCTGAAGTTAATATTTTGTTTTCGTTGTTGGACATACATGGTTGTTCAGATGAAAACAGTGTTCAGCATATTTCACTTGTGTATTTGCAGTTAATAAACCTGGCGACACCACTATTTTCTTATCCTCAGATTCCGATGCTAATGCAAATGCAAATGCATTATTGTTTGGTGGTGATAAGCATTGACGCAATATGCATCGGCTCACCTATAAATGGTAATGATAATGGTACACCAGACATAGAATGTATTGTATTGTATTTTCAATTTCATTTCATTTATAGCTTGTTTTCAGTTGATTGCCAAAAAAAATTCTACAATGATGAGTATACTGTTGACTAAACTAATATCAAAGTTAATTCTTACACAAATGTACTTCTCTTATTATGAGACATATCAATTGTAAGAAACAGTTTTGTTTTTTCTCTCTCTAATCATCTACTTGACTATATTTTACCCTAATGTTGTTATTGATATGAGTAATATTTGTACAAAAATTATTCATTTCCAGTGGGGTATAATATTTGTTGTTTCTAGCCCTTAATATTTGTTGATATATTCTCTGTTGACTATATATATACATATATATATATATATATATATATATATATTCTCTCGTGCCATTTGGTTATATATGTATGTTTTTTTGGGAAAGATAATTATTGATATAAGGAAAACACGTGGGCACTGTGGTCGATAATTATTCATTAGGTTCTTTCGTTTTAATTAGATAGGGTTTATTTACTTCATGTTTAATTCGTTTTCGGTGCTGACACGAAGTACGTATTTGGATTCTTGAGTATTTGTATATCCGATCAACCACTCTTCAGTTAACAAGATACTGTTATGGTTGTTGCTTTCTCGATGTGCTTCCATTCCATTCCATTTAAATCTTTTAACCTATAGAACAACGTAGGACTGTGCATATAGGCACACCAGTTCAAGTTGCCAGGTTTTAAAAAGGAAAAGTAGACAGAAATGTAGCACTACAAATATGAAAACACTTGAGCGTAAGGCAGATAATAATGAAATGAAGGTTAATGAGCATTTTCAAAATCTGGAAGACGACGAGCAGTGAATGCTTTTGTGTCGTGGAAAAGGATTTTAAGGTGACTGACTGAGTGTCATCTTAAAACTCTGTATAAAAGTTGAATATTTCTAGTTGCCACACTTCATAAGCACACAAATGTAGAGGAGAAAAAAGCAAAGGAGCCACAGCGTGTGGAATAAAGAATAAGCACATAGGGATTATTATTATTATTCGCTTAGGTTCCGAGTAAAACACGAGGCTTAGTAGTCGCAGGATCATTGAACTTGGAATTTTAAATAGTCAGTCAAGCTTATCCCCTTATGGTTATCAAAGGAAATGTATTCCCCCTTATTATAAACTGGGAAAACCAATGAATTGCATCAGTCCAATGGGACTACCTCGAGTTCCCACACACTAGCTAACATTTTTGTTAACCTAGTCAATAGTTCATACTATCAAGCGTATCCAACCGTTGATTTTCAGTATCTATGGTACCCAAACCAAATAATATACACCTCAAGTAAACAGTAAACGACTTAACAGGTTGTGCCATATTTTGGTCCAACTGACGAACAAAGGATTAAGTTGTATAAATCAGTATTTACACATGATTTTAGATCGAATTTCCATTTGGCATTCGCATTAAATTCATACAGTAATCTCATATTTCCACCCATGAATATCGCATACAACTACCAGTGTTCACGTGAATACCTAAAAAGATTGAAAACTTTGTAAACTGAATGGGGCTGAATTGAGTGTATTAGCACATATGATATTGGTTGGAGCGCAACGGTAAACAGTGATATGGTAAGTCGTAGACAAGAATTCGGACACTGTTAAAATATAATTCCATCTGATATAATAAGCAGTTATACAGTATTATTAAACAGATGACTTTTTGAGCATAACGTATTACACATAATCGTCAACCCAGTAACCACTGGTATAGTAACGTTATTTATTGAGAGATATTGTGCGTGTTGTGATGAGCGTCATCCACTGCATTCGTGCTTATGTTAATCTCCAAAAACTATTGCTTGAAGCATTCAACCAAGGAATCTAAATTTTCCGCAAGCAAGTGGAGCGCTATCAACGCCTAAAGCTTCACAATGCATAAAATAGTCCACGGACACTAGACAAAATGACTCCACTGCTTTACCTATTCTAGCCACTGTTCCTCAAGATGCTGTCCCTACTGCTTCTCTGTTTTTTTTCCTTCTTACATGACTTGCTCATTCTGGCGAAGCCAATTTCTTTAAGTATGCCGGTTACTCAGTCAGATTGTTCCGAAATTCTTAATTTTTTGCCAGCAATTAGTCAGTTGTTCTCGTCAAATTGTCTTAAGCTAAATAGCTCCAAGTGTCAAGTTGTGAATTTCACTTTCAGACACAAGAGCGATTTACATGAACTGGTTCGTCCCCATGATCCTAGTATCATTGATAGCACTGAAGTTGAAACTAAATCGAATGTTAAGTACCTTAGGTTGTGTATTTCCTCTTATCTTTCCTGGTCTCCCCATTTCATGTTGGTTTATGGAAAGATATTTTGTTTAACTTTCTACATAAGGAAGAAAATTAGATTCAATATTGTATACATGCTGAAAATTCCACATGAATCAAAAATACCGTTTGGAATAAAGCTATCAGTAATAATAAAGCAAAGACAGTGGTATGTGCGGAACAAGATAGTACCATCGGTTTCTCATCAGATTCAAACAGAGCAATTTCAACGTACTTACAAAGGTGTAATGATGTCAGTTGACAAGCTCATGGGGTTGTGTTGATGGACAGAGAAGACTAAATTAAAAAGATGGAATCTATTTTAAACGACCCGTTGACGTTTAAGGTTGAAAACTGCAAAAAGTATAAGACTGATTTAATTTAAAAGGGCATTACAAACATTGAGAGAGCTTTTAAAAAGGAATACATTGAAAAAAAATACTTAAAATGGTTTAAAACTTCGACGGTCTCATTTGCCGTGCATGTGTGACCTGCAGAAAACACACAAATGACATATCCGCTTGAGAACTATACTTCCTATGGTTGGTTCGCCTCAGCACAAAGTGGCCTGTTGGCTTGCAGAGGAGATGGAACGTATTTGTCTACGACTAGCTTTGTGCACTGTGAAAGATTCGTCTCATTTCGCTGAAAACCTGAACCACATGTGAACGTTTCCAACAGGTTTTATTTTGCCATTTGACGTAACCTCTTTGTCCACACGGATCCCATATAGTGAAACTGTCGATATTATTTGTAAGTATTTTAGTCTCCCTCTTCTAATGCAGGAATTTAAACGCCCACTACTAATGTGTGCCATGGATGTGCAATCCCAGTTTAACACTACACTTTACCGATATAAGTATAAAACTTGGGCACTGTGGTAGAGTGTAACTCCATTATGGATAAGATTTTATTTTTGATAAATCACACAGTGTTACACAGTAATATTAACTGATGACGTTTCGAGCACAAATTATTGCTCATAATCATATCAATTTACTGACACAAATGAAGGAAAAAGTTGTGTGAGTAACTTGAAATGATTGTGAGCAATAATTTGTGCTCGAAACGTCATCAGTTAATATTACTGTGTAACACTGTGTGATTTATCAAAAATAAAATCTTATCCATAATGGAACTACACTTTACCGTCAAACAGGTGGTGTAACTGTGGGTGGTCCATTAATCCCCGTATTAGCAGATATCTTGTGTGACCTTCATAGAACAAAGCTGAAGCGTGGAATAGACGAAACAACTTCTTGCTGTCTATATTTCTGATGTATGAGAGTCATGCATCCCACTTGTTTGGATTATTCAGTGATGCACATAAAAATCTTGACATCTGCATTCAACGCTTGGAAGATGGTAGACTGCAGGGACTTACTTACCAAAAGCCTACATGAAATGAGCAATACTTAAGTTTCGGTTTCTGTCCAATTAGCATAAAGCGAAAATTATTGAAATTCTGTTTTACGGAGACAGGAAAATGCGCTCTACTGAGAAATCTGAGGAGTAATTCCTAACTCTTGAGGAAATGATGAAAACTAACGGTTGCCCTCATAAATTTATTGGCAAGCACAGAAGATGCTATAGGAGAGAACGGAAGTTGACGTTTACGCAAAGTATGATGTACACAAACGCAAACCCCAACTCCTATAGTATTTGTTCTACTTAGACGATAAACAAATCAAAACCCCCAGGATTATCATCCGAAATAGGAGACATACTTCGAAATCAGAATAGTAGTGTGACAATGATGGCTTGACTAGCTAGGGGTCGTGCACGAACGACCGGATGTAACACGACAGTTTGCCAAATGGTTTGGATGCTTGACCGCCAGTCTTCAGCTTAATGAGTTGACTTAATCAGTGTGCTAAATGGAGAATGTTGTTGGCTAGCAACTTCGGAGAACTGTATACCACTAGAATTTGAATATTTAGATGCAAAATAAATCACAATGGAAAGGGTGCCTCGGTGGCACAGTGGTTAGGACTCTCGCCGACCATGCACATGGTCCGGGGTTCGATCCCCTACCGACGCACACCCGATATCCACGGTTGGCCTGCGAAATTCGGGCTACCGATAAACATGCTGAAAATTCCATACTTGTACTGAAAATACTGAGGAATCAAGCTGTAATAAAAATATAAATATAAGAAATATATAAATACAACTAGATTTCAAAGGGGAAAATACTTCAGGAATAGTCGACAAAAGACGAAATATTTCATTAGCCCAAACCTATTCTGAAGATAAGTTGATTCCCATTTATCGCTCAACATGCTTTTCGGTACATTCAAAGGGCGACAGATACCATTCTTATTGTGTATTCAGAATTATATGTATCAATGGTAGGAGATACAATGGGAGAACAGAAAGAAGAGTATGTGTATCCTTCGATTTCCTGAACATGTTCCAAAAAGCCTATATCCCAAGCGAGAAAACCTGTGATGATTGAGAATTTCTCTTACTGTATTGTTTAAATGCGTACTGTTGGTGTTAATATTTATTATTTTAGGTTAAACCACGGATTGATATCAGTTAGAGTACCATTGAAAACCAGGGGGTACTGGCCAGTTGTTTCGTCCTAGTTTTGCACTTATCGACAGTACGCACCCATTTGATTTCGAATCCAGGAAGTTCCGGTTACAAGGCAAGCTCGTATATCATTCAGCCACTGCGACGTGATTCAATGGCCCATGAATTCTATAATCTACCGATTCGTGATGTTAGCGCTACCACCGACCAATGTCATCGGTGGGACTGCATCCTCACTGCCAACTGGATGGACCACACTGGTCACGACTTCTCACTAGAACTCCAGGTAACTTCTTCCTGTAGCCAGTCACTAGAGAGCATCAGATTCATTTTCAAGAATTTGTTCAGGTTTGACCACGGATTGATAATAGATGCCTACTGCCAATGAATTCCAAACTAGGACGAAACAGCTGTCCAGTACCCCTTGGTTTTCAATGATTCTCTAACTGATATCAATCCGTGGTGTAACCTAAAATAATAAATATTAAACAACCCATTCTAGAAAAATATTTATT